CCTTTATATGTGTCCATATTTTACAAATGAAACTATCATTACTTGAACTAAAGAACTAGAAAAGTTATGTCCTCATTGCGACTTTGACACATAATGAATTCTATAAAAATGATGTAATAAATATTTAATTGATGTAATTACACGAACATATAGCCTAATGCTCTATTTTTAAACTATTAATTTCCAAGATCTAAATCACCGAACGCAAATCTATTCAAAACCGATAGAACAAACTGTATAATAAATGCCCGTGAACCTAGTGTTAAATAGAACAAATATTCTAAAACCTGTATGCCTGTCCATATTTCACAAAAGAATTGACCGATTCGCCTTTCGATTGTCACAATAGAAATAAGCAACCCCTGGAAAATGCAGGATTGAATTAACTGCAATTACTAAAGCCAGGGATTAGCGACCCATATGTTGCCCCAGCAGATAGCTACCCTGCGTAACTCCCTGCTGCGTTCCCACGAACCCTACCTGACTACTCTGATAATCCCCTGTTATAGTTTCCCGACTCTGATCCCTGATCCCTTCGGCCGGTAAACTGTCCTAGATAAAACTTCTCTGTTTACAACCCCGTCCCATCCCTTCATTCAGCCCTTAAGCGCCGAACTGATGCTGAACTTTGAGAAGACCTGCAACTCGACAGAGTAGTGCTTTTCCTTTCACATTCCAGCAAATGTAGCAGTGACGATACTCATCGTATTTCCAAGCGAATTCCTTCGGATGAGGATTCTAAATTTAACATTCTCGTCAGTTGCAAAATTATTATTTTAATTAATAGAAGTGACGCATTGAATTCTTTTTGAAACTGACAGGAAATAATAGTAATTCTAGGGTGTTTTAAGGTCCTCAGGGATTCACAATATTGTAATAAGATTTTAGGAACTTTATATTTTGTTCAATCGGGGAGTCATTAATTTTTTGAGAATCTGAACATTATTATTAGCATTTTATATTTAGATATCGAAGACCTTTTTGTAGAATTTTGTAATGAACTCATATAGATCCTCATTTTTAAAAACTGTAACGAACTTATATAAAATCTCATTATTCTAAAATGGTAAGAGTTTTTATAAAACTTCATGATTCCAAAATTCGAAACGAACCTACACAGAATCTGATTTTTCCAGAATTCTAAAGAAACTTTGGTAGAAGTTCCTATCCTTTTGGAATTTGTAAAGACATCAGTACCTACTAAAAGCTAGACCCAGTCGACTAGGATCTACAAAGCAATCCTAATTTAGAAGAGAACTGATATTAAAGTATAAAATAATTATAATATAAATTACTCTACTTTCTTAAAAGCTTCAATATTATCTCCAGTTTCTAGAACTTCCAAAGATTCTGCTATTTCTTCAGAATTAAAAAAGTAGAACTCATTTCTCTAGAACCAAGTCACAGTTATTCTTCGATAACTTCAACAATTTTCCCCTATTTCCCCCTGGACCTAAAGAAACACCTATTTTTCTCACCCACTCGAAGACACCCCTGTCGTTCCAGAATCACATATGTTATACTTGACACTCTGTAATAACAAAAATGGAACACATTTTTCAAGAACTTCGAAATACTCTCGATTTTCTACAAACATTATTGATTCGTCATTCTGCAGTGTCAAGTAACATTCCACTTTACAAATGATTTTAAACCGGCTTTCCCTTCCAGAGATAAAGATTGAATAACTTCATGTTAAATATGTAATCAGAAAATTTCACTATTGCCAAGAATATCTGAATTTAATGAAAGAAAAACAAAATAACTTCCATATCTAAATATACCACGTTCAAAACAATTAATTAAACTCTGAATCTTCTCAAATCCAAAATAGATGTTTCAATTTATGAACATCAGAAACATCAAACTGTTGAACATGTTGAACTCAATATAAAAATTCCAATGAATAAATATAATTATTGTCAAACGAAGTAAATTCACTATAGAAGAACCTTTTAATTCCATAATAAATTCATATCTACAATTTACGATTAATATTCATCACGCAATCTCCCAAGTCCAAAATTAATGTTCCATTATCACAGAATACCGAATATGATGTACGTACCAACTCCAACAGTAAAATGATAGATCACATAGAATAATCAATCTATAATACAATCAGAAAATCACAATTTTAAATAACCTTATAATTTCATAATAATTCCACATTTCTCCTCCACAAATAATTTCCATCGCGTCACACGAAGACCACCGTAGAAATTAATAACTCTTCCAGAATTCCAATTTTCTCTTAGCAATATTAATAATCTCGCATCCAGCAGAACCTTTTACAACTCCGTTAATCCCAGAATGAAACATTTGCGTGGGGAGGTTCACATTAACTTGCCCGACAATCCACTGTCAGGATTTCCAGCTAAAAGCTGAAGTCCCCGTTCGACTTCAAAGGGACACAGAATTCTCGTCATCATCAACCTTACAAGCAGCTAAATTACGCATGACGTGTGTAGAAATTACAAGAAACAATTTGTCAAATATATTTAAAAAACAAGGGAGAAACAGGCAATTAATTTCATTGGAACAATTAACGTGTTAACGTTAGAATTACTGTACCAGTTAATATGTGTGCAACAAATTTTTTTATTCCGCAGTTATATTTATCTTAAAACCAGTAAATAATCGAAATTATTTTCAAAATAAGTAATTTCACATGAATATTATAATCACTCTGCTGATCTATCTCTGATCAAATTATCAATGGAATTCTTACAAAATAATGAATATCATAGAGAACTAAAAATAATTTATTGTATTAATATCACCCAACATCAAACTGATGATGAACATGTCAAACTCAATACAAAAACTCTAATGAATGAAATCAATTGATTTCAAGTAAACTAATTTCGATATTAAATAACCCCAACCATTAATTAATATTCATTGTTACAATTTCCATAATAATCGCATATTATCCTATTGAATACTCGATAGCTATAGTGTAGAATGCTGTCAGTCATAGATGACTGACACTTCTGAATAGCTAAGAAGCAATTTACAACAATACTTTGAATACCTTGAAAACACATATTATTTTCATAGAACAAAAACGCTTTGTGGTTAACAAGAAAAATGTTTATTGAAGGAAAAGTCATTACTCGTTAAACAAAAAATTAAAATTTTTGCATGAACCCAGCACTGCTGTATCATTTTTTTACACTTTTCGTTGGATTGACTCAATCATAGAGCCAAGGAGATACTCATATATCGATATATCGTCAAATTCGAATTACAGAAGATTAAAACCTACAATGCCATCAAAAAATCATGGAAAAATAACTATTAAATTCAGATTTCCCATAAGAAACTAATACAAACAGTGGATAGACATCATCGCTTGTGGACGAGCATTTTTCCAACTTTTAACACTTCGTTCCATAAACAATTGACTTATGCATCGAAATTCTGTGTATCAAAACAAAAGAAAACCACGCAATCTGTCATTATTTCAATAATCAACAAATTGCGTACGGTGCTCTGCGCGCTCAAACCGCGTTCAAAACCCGCACATTTCCGAACGCTGTAGAAGCATGCTTGGCGAGCAATAGAAAGCGGATACGTACATTTCTAATTTGTATTTGGTATTATATTCACATATATTATTCTTAAATATCACTATATATATATAGTTTACACACCTATTTATTGTATCAGATTTTTTACACTTTAACCATTATTTATTTCACAAACTTGAATAATTCTTTAGAGTATGATATTTGGTAAAGCATACTCCTTTGTGCAATGCTGTTCGACACAATTTCCAACAATATCTTGTTTCGCTCCTTTGTTTATTGGACGAACAAACTTTACATTGTTTGGTTGGAAACTTCTTGCCTGTACTCGTTATTGGTTCCAGTATATGCTGTTTCATATTACCAGAGCGTCTACATGATGGACTGATGTGTAGATAATTGGTTGTATTTGAAATACTTTGTCCCATGTCCATTAATGTATCCGTTGATTTTTTGTTCCGACGTCCATAATTTCATCACAACGAGTAGAAAATCTTTATATTTCATTGTTTCATTATTACAGGAATTATAGATCTTGAATGCATTGGACAGTCCGCAGTTGACGAGATATAATACTTTTTTGGCCATTTAATTGTTTTTCGCAATATTGAGTAGTATGATAGATACTGATCAGAAAGGTCGATTGAATCGAAATAAAACATGAAAACGAGATATTTCGTGACCCGTACGCAATATGTTAAATTATCCATTCGTAGCCACCGATTTAAACCCTTTGCGGTCCAAAGTGCTCTTGGTTTCTCACTTTGAGGTTCACGTCGACGTTAGTTCATTCAATTGCAGCTAAAATATGACGCTCTGATTATTTATTCAAGAATATTTGGAAGTCATTGAAACGGTAGTTTGAAATGTTACACAGTTGTGATACTACAAATAAATGCAGAAAAAATTGTTGAAATCAGTAGACGTTGCCATAAAATCGAATGTCTAGTCTGACTCGACATAGGACTGCTACGGGTTAAATGTCATTTCGAAGTCGTCACTACAGCGACATGCAACAACAAAAGGTTAACACAGGTTGAACCACTGTCCAAAAGACGGTTTTAACCTGAAATTCCTAAACTGTAACAATAACTGAATACCTAAACCACAACTGTAGTAACACAGAGTAAGAGTCGTCACGAGAATGTTCAACCAAATTCAAAACTGAATGTTACTTATTCATTTCTTACATAAATTAAACACTGCTTATCGACCATCAATCTTTAACCTTCGGAGTCAACCTAGACACAGAACGAGTCTAAAATCCTTTTCCCTATTAAGCAAGTTGAACGAATAACTATAAACGTATTTCAATTTTCAATTTTAAGAAAAAGAGTTACTCGCGTCACAGGGTGGCCCACTTACATTTTATATCTTCCAGAATTCGCCCGATACAGATCACATTTCATTTTTCCAGTCTGCATAAGGAAGACAGTGTTGTACGTCTAATAAATTTTTCTGTTCCAGTTGCTGACCTCCATCGTAGTAGTCGGCGGAACGAATATGGCAGGTGTGCTGACGCACCACCCACGCGAGCTGGCGCAAAGGCAGGCGTTCCTCGAAACGAGACAATGCGTCGAGGCGCGTCTCACCACGCAGAGGGAGAACCAGCAACAGGTACGCGTACACCTCGAATAAGTCGTAAATCCTTGATTGCTCCGGAAAGAGCCGCATTTTCCTCGCTCTAATAAAAACCATGATTTTCCGGTGTGGGCTTTGCTTTTATTAACGCTAGAAACTGTCGAGCAGTCAAATTGGCTTCGTTTCATTCTTCTGGAGGTATTATGAGAGTGTAGACGAGAGAAGTGCGATAGAGAAAAGTATAACAGCATTAAACAATAATTGTGTTCAACACTGAAACTACCAAAACGATCCAATCCTCATTTCTCCTTTTCGCAATTATTAACCCGTTGCCTTAGGATTTATTTCGACTGAGATGTTCCTGCTTGCGGTAGTTGGTTTTGATGCAATTTTTTAGATGCAGCTATTGTAAACGAAATTGTAGTATTACCTATATAGAATAGTATGGACAATCATAGTTAAAAATTAAACCATAAGAAAAGAGGTTAAACCCTTGTCTTATGAATTAATTTCTTAGGTGCACCCGTTAGAATTATCTATCGTTAATAATGCACTAGTAAAAGAAAACATTCCATGCTCCTTCGATGTCTACAATTAGTACAAACCGTTCAAATAGGTAACAAGAACAATAATGATTCAGTTAAACTTAACACAAATCAATGACGTTTTGTTAAATCGTATGAGGAAAGCATAGTGATGTTTGCTAAACCGTAATAGAAATCTCCGTCTCGTGTCTAACACGATATTCTAAGGCAAAGGGTTAATATTACTGTCGCCTGTCTATGCTGATTAATACTTTCATATTGATATATAATTATTTACCTGAAAAAGTATTCATAACACGGTAAATTATACTCATCAATGAGTGAGTGTTCATATAGTAGAAACATTTACGTAACCATTAAACTCGGGTGTAAAAAATAAGAAACAATAATTTACACATCCATGATTGTTTAATTACTACTGATACTATCATTATTCACGAGAACTAAATATAAAAGCGCTTTATTTTCAAAAAATGTTCCCCCAGCCTTACAGAGTTTGGCTGGGGGTAGATATACAATTGCGCCTTTATGGCGAAGGCAATATATTATAAATTGTAGTATAATTCATATACATGTTAGGTTTAAAAAAGAAATAGATTTGTGGCTACGTTGCAATATTAAATCTACAATGCGCATATAATATATAGTTAAAATAATAAATTAATAAAATAAAGAAAACGAGAAGTAAAGAATAAATAAACAAATAAATACATACATAAAATGAATAGAACAAATAAATAAACTACTATAAATAAATAGATAAAAAGATAAATATAGAAATAGATACTTAAATAAATAAATAAATAAATTAGATAGTATATAGTTAAATGTGTGGTTAAGGTACATAGTGTTGCGTAGTTAATTGTTTCCATAGCCGACACCAGGGTCATGCGATCCCCAGTCCTCCGCCATTAACAAATAAGATACTAACATAAATAAAAATAAACAGATATAAGTATAATCGACATAAATAAATAGATAAATAAACAAAATAGTTAAAACAAATAGACAAATAAATAGCGAAAGTAAAATAAATTAATAGATAAATAACAAATAGTAAGCCAATGTACAATTAGCATGTTGGCTCGGTTATATAATATTGAGTTGGCGTGAGCGCGAAGGCAAGGTCAGTAAGGCAGGACATGCAGGCATAGGGAGGCAGTCAGATGTAGCGGAGAAAGAAGTAGTATAGATAAAAACAGAATACAGATAATATTAGAAGTCAAACTGTTGTTAGTAACTATAACTATACAACATCGTATCACACGTGCTGAAGATTTTAAACAAAATTTAACAAGTATTAGTATTACTCAATTCTTTTGAAACCAAATGAAATATTACTCTTCAGTTACCACTGATAATGTTTTAGAACAAACATAGGCGTAGCATATACCTAGAATTCTTCCCCTTTCCCAATAAATTATTAACACACTGACAATTAATTAAAGCAGACAATACTGATTGTATCATAACAAAGGGAAATTTTACTAGAATTAGTTATTAGTAGTTTGATACCATAGTACTCATATTTAGTTACTCATGCTGCGAAACATTTCAACTCAATATCAGTTTTCTTTATGTAATTCTCTTCTACTAATTTGGACTGGTAATAACAAAATACTTGTGCCCGCCGTAGTTACGATAAAAATCATAGGACAAGCGGTTAATGCCAAAAATCATATTCTTCACAACACTATAAGAACAATCAAGAAAGTAACCCATATCATTCAAAATAATCTTCAATAAATTTATAAAAATAACGAAGAAACTAATTTCACAAAAAAAAATATTCGCAGTTCCAATACAATATCGATTTACAAAACAACGGATTATTTTCAGAGCCGACGATACCACCGTCGCAACAAATACCAGTGACTGTATTGCGTACATAGTCAAACTGCGTTGGCCAACTGAAATATAAAATAAAATATGAAACAAACGTTCGCTGTGTTACTCGAAAGTTGCACGATTTGAAAATGGAACGCTTCACGCAGGACCGTGTCGAAATTTTCAATTTGCCGGACCAACACGGCGAGGAACACGTAACACGTTTAGCCGGAAAGTTTTGATCGACGTCGACGAAACGAGCCGGCGAAATTTATGTCGTTAGAGTTCCCCGCGCCCTTCACTTTGCCCGTCGTCTGGTTAATTAATGACCGCTAATAATAATTTATGGCGCAACCCATCGGCGCGTGGACATAATTTCCGCACGAAGAACTCTGTCTCGTACAAATCGAATCGTTCGAAAATTTGTGAACGCTCCGTGACGTGCAATTCAGAAATCCGTTTCAAATTTTTGGAATTTGCGCCGGAAGCAATTAGTGATCACGTTTCTAAATTGATGCGGAGGAATTGGAACGATCGTGGAGTGGAGATGTTGACAGAAATTAGTCTGAATGACGAATTAACGAATGATTTATAAACTTCCATTATTCCAGCATTATCAATTATAATTGTATAACAAGTCAACGCTAACTAGTAATCGAAACAACAATGATATAAGTAGAAATCTAATTACAGTTCAATATTGACAACATTGACAAAACACATTCTACATTGTTTATAAGGACTTATTTAAAAACTCCCATTATTCTATCATTATTAAATATAACCGTATAACAAATCAACAGAAACCAACACATGAGCCAATGAAAATACAGGTCAAAACGAACTATTATTAAAATTTTGAAATTGATACAAAGAAATTAGAACCATCATCGGAAAGAAATGTTCAGAAAAACAATACTAAATTATGATTATAACAAATAATTAAAACACTGCAAATTTTCTAGCATTATCGAATATAACCATAGAACAAATTAACATAAACGAATAACCGGAACAATAATGATATAAACCGAAATCTAATTATTGCTCAGATTTCGAAATTGATACGAAGAAATTAAATGGTTTCTGAGAACAAAATGTCAATAAAAACAATTCTAAATTACGATTCTAACAAAGAATTAATAAACTCTCATTATTCTATCGTTATCAAATATAACCATACAAGAAATTTAAATAAACCAATATTCGAGACAATAGACATGCAAATTAAAAACCGATTATTGCTCACATGTCGAAATTGAAGCGTACAGATTAGAAGGTTCGTTAGGCGGAAACGATTTGCCCAACATGGACGTGAAAACCCTGAAGCCACGTCGAAATTATTTCGTCGCAATTTTTACGTCGCCGAAGAAACATCAAACAACCTCTAGGAAAGGCGGTGATGTTTCGCTCGCCGGCGTTTTCATTGAAGTCGAGCAAACTGGCCCACTCGCAAACAGATTGAGAACTCTCTCTCTTTTTAAGCGAGCAATCCTCGTCACGGATGAAACTTTCCTCCGTTTATTCAAAAGGACGCGGAACTCCTGCGACCCACGCGACAGTTTACGAGCAAAATATGAGCAATGAACGTATCGCGCTTGACGCGCTACGGAATGCCCTCGATCAACATCCATTTATTTCTAAATTCATCAGAAAAAATGTTGAGTATATTATAGTGAGGAATTGGACATTTTTAGAATGTTTAGAACTGTTAATAATATAGTGATCCCGGAAGAGCCACCAAGTTTATAGTGGGGCTACTGTTATTGTAGATATTGAAAAGGTGAATCGTCAGTAAAAAGAGAATTAGAAATAAATATATGTATTTAATGAGATAAAGAAACAATATCGACAACACGTAAAAATACAATTTAATGCCACGAAGGCCAACACACGACTTACTATCACGCACAAAATGTTCCGCTATCTTTCACCAAAAAATGTTCCTCGCGCTGTCTCTCACCAAAATGTGTCCTCACGCACGCATTCCCACTCGCTTTTAACACACACCCCCATTTGCTCCGTCTTTATCATTGCACCCTTCTCACTCGCAACTTTCATCCATAGTCAAAATTCACGCAGTCACGTACACGCTTTTCTCACGGTCCAGTCGCTCAGTTCCAGACACACTTCCTCGTATTCTTTCAGCCACTCGAGATTTTCTAAACGCAGTCACACTATTTTCCAAACATCCCGGCGCCGGTCCGTCGCAATACGCACAACAAACCATTCATACTACAGTACTTTAACCTACGCTAACTAATTCTTCATACTACAATAATTTAATGAAGAAGGAGGCAGATTATAGAAACAAAATATCTGTGAATGCTCTGAAGTATAATCATTGGAGATAGAAGAATAATATTTAATTATGACGAATTGTATATTTTTTGAATATTTAGGGCTCTAAATGGATTACCTGTAATTTCAATGGTAAATTAGTTTTAGTTCTGTGATTCACTTTTCAAAAAGAATTGATAAGACTATTTAGTCGTTAATAATTCAGTGAAAAAGAGACAAATATCAGAAATATTCTATATTTGTATTTGTTCTGATCTCTATAATTATTGTCAACAGAAGAATAATATTTAATTGCGACGAATTGGGCATTTTTCGAATATGTGGAATTGTAAACGGATTATTTGTAACTTTAATGGTAAATTG